TGTGTGCATGTGTGTGCGTGTGTGCCTGTCCGTGTGCTAGTGTTTATGTGTGCATGTGTGTGCATGTGTGCCTGTCCGTGTGCTAGTGTTTATGTGTGCACGTGTGTGCACATGCACCTCTGTGTGTCAGCGTGTGCACGTGCCTGTGTGCGTGTATGTGCCCGTGTGGTTCCCTGTCTGCTCGTGCGCCCGTGTGCGTGTGTGTTGGTATGTGCGCGTGTGCGCGGGTGCCTGTCCGTGCGTTAGTGTGTGCAGTGCATGTACGTTAGTGTCTGCATGTGTTTGTATTGTGCACCTCAGTGTGCGTTTGCACACACACACGTGTACGGTCTGAGCCTCGCCTGGATCCAGACAGAGAGACAGCGGGAACTGCCTGTGACGTCTCTGGGGCTCGGAGCCCCGGGTGGGGCCTGCCAGGGGTGGGGGTGCTGCCCCACCCCCCACCCGGCCAGCAGAACTTGCACAAAAGCCCCGGCCACAGCACCAGACGGCTCTCCCTGGGGAGTGATGCTACCGGAAACTTCTGCTCTTGGTTTCTGAAGGTGGCAGTCCTGACCCACTGCTGAAAACCTGGCCACCCTGAGTTTTTCTATACTGAGGGGAGGAGAGGACCAGGGCTGGGGCTGGTCTCACAGAATCAGCTGTCCTGGAGGCCCTCGTAAAGGCAAGTCTGCAGGAGATGGAGCTGGGGCTCTGCTGGGGTGGGCCTCAGGTGGGGCCGAAGCCAGCAGCTAGGGAGTCAGGCCATCGGTGTGAGCTGGGACACACACAACCCATGAGGCAAAGGGCTCTCTGCTCATCCACAGATGCCCTCCCGGCCCTGGCCACCTTGAGGCATCCTGCCAGGCTTCCTTGGACCACTTCTCAGGGACACCACTCCCATTGGCTGGGGACCCAGACCCACCCCCCTGCACCTACCACATCGATGAGCTGGGCAATGGACAGGCCGAAGCGGACCAGGACCACATCTGAGATGTTGGCCACAGGCCGGGACCACTTGTTGTAGCCAGAGAAGAGTTTCTTCAGCAGCCGCTCCTCGGCGTGGGCTCGGGTCTCCACGTGGCTGCTTGCTGAGGTCGGGGAGTGGGCAGGGGCTCAGGCCAGGGCAGCCGCGAGGCCTCACCACCTCTTCAGTCCTCACACTCCCCTCCTTCCTCCCACCACAAGGCCTTTGCACGTGCTGCCTGATGCCCGGTGTGCTCCGCCCTGCGCTCAGCCTGGGTTTCCCCTACAGCCCTTCGGCATCACCGTAACCTCCCCGGGGAAGCAGCACCACAGACTAGCAGAGAGAGGAGAGCCCCCAGTGCTGCTCTCCCGAAAGGCAGAGACAGGATCTTAGTGGGGGTCTGAAGCTGCCCAGGGGACATCCGAGGCCCAAGGCCCCTCAATCTGTTATTTCTTGTCTCTCTGACCAGTGAAGGGCAGCCGACTCTCTGGGGAGGAGAAGGTGAAATCCCTTCCAGGAGTCCCTGAAGGGGAGCGGGGTGAAGAAGGTGCCCACGGCAGCGAGGGAGGAGAGGAAGCCGGACTTGCTGTCCCGGAGAGCCTGGGGGAGCCGAGGTGGGGGAAGCAGAACACCATGGGCAAGCCACCCCACTTCTAACCTGGAGCAGGCGTGGGGGAGGGGTCTGCAGGGCCATCTAGCTCGATGTGGTGGTGGGGGGCGAGAGGGTCCCCGCCTCTGCCAAGTTTCACAGCTAGAATCCCCCTACCTCCACCCAAGCACCCCTCCTCGCGCGTTCACAGCTGGGTTAACTCCTTCCTTGCCTCGTGGCCGCCCCGTTGCGCGCAGCCATGGCTTTGGACCGCAGCCAGGAGCCTTCCCTCCTCAGCCTCCGGAGATCCAGGGTAGCCGGCACCAGGCGAAAGGGGGCCTTCCAGCGCCCTGGAACTTACCGGGCAGGAGGCCGGCCCCGAGAAGCAGCAGCAGCAGCGGCGGCGCCCCGAGGCCCCCAAGCTCCATGGCGCACCGTGAGGCTCTAGACTCGGGCAGCTTCTGGCTCCGCTGCGCCCCTGCTCCGAGGCCCGCGCGCGCCCAACTTCAAGCCCCGGCCCGGGGCCGGCCGCTCTGTCCCGCCCGCTCGGCCGCTGTTCCCGCGGTTCCCGGCGCTGGGGCCGGAGCAACACGGCTGTGGGCTCGGCACAGCCCTGCCTGGACGTGCTGCCTCCAGCGGGCGAAGAAGGGGAGGAGGAGGGAGTGAAGGACGGACCAGAGCGGGAGGAGGGAGGGGAGGGGAAGGGACGAAAAGGGAGGGGAGAGAGAGAGAAAGGAGGAGCTGGAGAGGGGGACAGATCACGCTAGGAGAAGGGGCGCAGAGACGACAGCGTTCGGCCCTCTCTGGGGTAAAGTTTCCTACCTCCTCTCGGGGCTTGGGACGTGTGGAGCTGGTATGGGAACCCCGTGGTCACTGCATGCAATTGGGAATCCTGGGCTGACCTGGTTTCCAGATCACAAGACACTGACCCCCCAACACCCTGTCTTTGGCCCAGGTCCCAGCCGCCTGCCTGGAGGCGGGGCGCACACCGCGGGGCTCCTGGCTGGAGGAGGGGCTGCGCCCCACACGCAAGTGGTTGACTCCATCACCCTCACCCCGCGCCAGAGTTTGCAATTTGGGAATCACCAGTCCCTCATCTTCCTCCACAGCCTGATGGTCAGGAAAGAGTCCCCCCTCTCCCGCATATGGGCCTGTCCCCTGCAGACCAGGCAGAGCATCCGTGAAAAATGCAGGCTCCATGCCCGCCTTTCGGGGACACCACGTGGGAAGGAGGAAGGACCCTGATGCCCTGGTCGTCTCCCCACACGCCCCAAGCTGCCTCTTGGTGTCTCAAGGTCCAGCCTGAGGCCGGCATCCGCCTCCTGGCCGCCCCCACCCCCACCCCCGTGGTGCCTGCGTTGCCCTCTGTGCGAAGGCAGCAGCACCCCACAGTCTGTCAGCAGTGGGGGGTGGTAGCGGGGGGGTCTTGGACCGACCCCTCCTGAGGGCCTTCACCCTCAATGTGCAGGTGGAGAGAGTGCGAAGTGTGGGGATCTGGGCGTCTTGGCTTTGCGTGGCTGAAAAGGTCTGGGGAGGGCCGGGCGCCCCCTGCAGACACGCGGGGGGTCAAGGGTTGCGCTGCCACCCTTACACAGCTCTGCCATAGTGACCCAGCTGGGGTGGGGGCAGAGAAGAGGGGCTGGAGAGGGCCAGGGCTCCTCTGGCCTCAGTGCCTCTGAACCCCGTCCTCGATGCCACCCTCCAGCTGCTGCAAGGGGAGCAGAATGCCCTCCTCCCAGGCCTGGCACCTCCCTCCACACACATCACACAGTGCTGGGTGACTAACAGGCGTGAGTCCCCCACGACTAATCCTCCATCTCTCCTGTCCCCTCCCCCCACCTCCTCTCCCCTATGTCATCTCTCCTCTCCCCTATCTCCCTGCCCGATCTTCCCCTTCCCCTCTCCCATCTCTCCGGCTTTCTGGGCCTCAGGTGTACCGAGACCTGGGGGCCTGCCCTGCTCTCTGTGGCCTCGTGCCTGCCCAGCGCCCTCAGAGCACTCAGCACCTTCCTGGAGGTGAGTCTTAACAATTCTGACCCCTTACGAACTCAACCCTACGCCCCCCAGGAGGTGGGTTCTTGTGTAGCCCACCTTTACAGAGAGGGTAAGACTCTTGCCCAAGGCCACACAGCCAGTAGCCAGATTCCAAGCCAGGCCATCCTGCTCCAGTCTACACCTTCCTCCACTGCTCTGCCTGTGCCCGGCTGCAGTTGCCCCCTGGGGCACTCGGTCTGGCCTCCGTCAATCTTCCCTGGAGCCAGGGACGCACAGGCCTCCCCCTCTGGGGAGCCTCCTCCACCTTCCAGCCCAGGCTCATCATACTCCCTGGGACGACTCCCCAGACCCCTGAGCCAGTTTGATTGGTCTGTGTCAAAGATCCTCATGGGGGTCACAGGGCCTCTCACCCTCCTCCTCTTCCCCTACTAACCGAGGGCCCCCAGTCCCTCCAGCATGCATTGAGCCCCCTCCACAGAGGGCCCCACTCCTTCACTGCCTTTGACCAGGCTGGGGGCTGGGGGTGGGGCGGGGGGCAGGCTGCAAGGCCAGGAGGAGGCCCAGCCCACTGTCGCTGCACCTCTCACAGGCCTGGGCAGAGGCTCTGGACGGTTGGGAGCCAGGGTCTTTCCTCCCGACTCATGGAGGGGCGGGAGGCGTGCTGGCGGCTCCTGGATTGGAGAAGGTGCCTGTGGGTTTTGTCTTTATTTCCTGTCTTGATGCGAGGCCTCCTCCTTTTTCACGGGACAGTGCCTTGGTGATAATCTGCAGAGCCAAGTCCATGTTCTCTTACTACTGACAGGCCAGCATGATGCCCTGTGGAGCAGGACTGTTATCATGGGGCCCGTGACCCACTGACTGATGTCACCCCACTGCTCCCGGGCCTCTGCTGTTAGGTCCGCTCTAGCCCTCAGGACCTTTTAAAGCATCCTCCTCGAATGCTCTGCTGGAGTCGGACTCGTGATGAGTGGGTCCAATCCAGGGAGACCTCCTGGAGGAGGAGGCAGGCGCGCGCGCACGCACACACACACACGCAGCCGAAACCCCAGACTCCAGAAACCACCTGTTTTAGTTTTCTGGGGTTGTGGTAACAAAGAGCCACAAAGTGGGGCTTAAAATGACAGAGACATATTGTCTCACAGTTCTGGAGGTTAGACGTCTGAATTCAGGGTGTCGGCAGGGCGGTGCTCCCTCTGGGGACTCTGGGGGAGGATCCTTCCTTGTACCCCCAGCTTCAGGTGATCCCCGTGTTCCTTGGTGTGTGGCTGCATCACGCCAGGCTCTGCCTCCAGGGTCACATGACCGTTTTCCCTCTGTGTCTGTCTGTCTCTTCTCTCCTTGTGGGGACACCACCCTACCCCAGCATGACCTCAGGTGAACGAATTACACCTGCAAAGACCTAGTTCCCAGCGAGCTCACATTCACGGGGATGGGAGCTAGGACTTGAACATATCTTTTGGGGGACAATTCAGTCCGTAAACCCACCCAACCACAGGGACTGTTCAGTCTGGGCTGAGGCCCGGAAACCTGTGATTTCTAACACACCTTCAGGGACTCTGGTGCAGGAGGCCTCAGACCTCCCCCTGGGAACCCAGACTTGGAGCCTATTCAGCCCTGGGGCTGCTGTGAAAAGTCTGGCCGGCCCTTCCCCCAGCTGATCCTGGGACCTGGCGAGGTGGGAGCCTGCCCGCAGGGTGCTGTCTGGCCTGGGTGAGGTGGGAGCCTGCCCGCAGGGTGCTGTCTGGCCTGGGCGAGGTGGGAGCCTGCCCCCAGGGTGCTGTCTGGCCTGGGCGAGGTGGGAGCCTGCCCCCAGGGTGCCGTCTGTCTGGGAAGGGGCTGCGGGAATTTCTGAGGCACTCACAGGCTCACTGTCACAGCCGGCTCCCCTTCTCCGATTTCTCCTTTGCTTTTCCAGCAACAGTGGTGACGGCTTTGTGCCCGGGCTCCAGCTAGGCCGCCCCACAGACAGCTGCTTTCCCTGGAGCATCCCCGCAGGTTAGTCCCCGAGAGCCCAGCCCACCAGGCCAGCAAGCCCGTCTCTTGGCCCCGGAGGCCGGCCGGGTCAGCGCGGGGCCTGGGGGCGCCTCGTGCACACCCTCACACGCACACTCACACATCTGTGCAGCCCTCCTGGCTTTCCCTGCAGATTGCTAATGCTGTGAGATTAATCGGGTCTAACTCATTAATTTGCACAGCCCCTCCCTGCCCACCTGCCCCCGGCTGCAAAGCGCTAGTTTCAGGAACCTAGTAATTGGCTTGGCTTCTGAATTAGACTCTCAGCCTAGGTGTCTAGGGCCCTCCTTCTGCTGCTCCTGAAAACAAAGCCTTCTTCAAAGGAAAACCCCCAACTCGAGCCATTGAGACCAGATTGGGGGAAGCACTTCTGAGTGCCAAGTCCTGCAGCCTTTGTACCGGGAGCAGCGTCCACCAAGTGTGATTGCAGGGGGCAAGCCCCTCGCAGACCCCGTGCTGCACCCCCATCTCCCACCCCCGTCAATGTCACGGTCAACTCCAAAGTCAGCCCCTGGCTACCCTGAGAATGATGCTGCCGGCTCGGGCGCTGGTGACCCTTTCCTCCTCCGTTGTCACCTCTCCACCCTCCACCCGTCCCAAGGACATTTCTGTGGTAACCAATTGTTGGTGCACACACAGATCCTGTCAAAGGAGGGAGGCGAGTCCTGGTGCGGAGTCCCGAGCTGCAGGAGTGGGGCGGGGGAAGGCAGAGGAGAAGACGGGGAGGGAGGCAGGTGAGAAAGAGGCAGCGGAGGGACATGACTGTCAGGGGTGACCTCAAGGCCAAGCAAGGGGCCGTCAGCCCCAGGACCCAAGTGCCAGCCTGAGGACCCCAGTGCCCACCTTTCTGCTGGACACATCACCCTGGAGTGGGCTCCTGGCCCCTCCAACGCTTCAGCCAGGCCTCACCTACAGAGGAGAGGAACACGTCCATCCCTGCCCTCCCCTGCCAAAACTCCCCTCCTGCCCAGGTGACACTGGCCTAGTGCTCCTCCATTTCTTCCCAGGATACTGCCAGCTCTTTAAAAGGAAAATATCCCTGAGAGGAAAGGAAATTCACGGAACGCCCAGTGCTTCCATGTCAATAAATTTTCTGACATGTTTTTTCTTAACGCGCCCGTCCACACACATCCACGCTTCTGCCTCATAACCTTGCTTCATTTTTCTCCCAGCACGTGTGTCCCTGGACATCACCTATGTCATCTGTTGACCTCCCCCCATGCCCAATAATGTAAGACCTTGGGGAGAGGCTGTATGCTTCCATCACAATGGCTGGCTCTTAGCGGGGTTTCTGTAGATGTGCTGAATGCAAGGATGAATGGATGGGTGAATGAATGAATGAGTGAATGGGAGGCTCTATGCTTTGTTCCCGATACCTGGCATTTAATAGGGTCTGGGTAAATGTGCTGAATGCATGCGT